ATACTGCACATCTCTGTAATGCAACTAAAACAGCTGTCATGTTAACATTACCTTGCTAGATAACTAGCTAATTAAGTTATCTGGGTACTAGCAAACAACCAACATTATTCTAGGAGACTATCCTTTATTTCATTTTCAATATCGTTTGACATGATCACATGATATTACCAGCATTTTAAATTGTTTTATGAAATTCATTTCACAAAGTTGCGATGCTATCAAAAGAGTTTCAAGTAAGTTGCATGAGATCTCACATTATGCAGCACCACTGAAATAAAAGCAGCAAAAGTACAAAGTAAATCATTTGGGAAAAAAGCAAGAATAAGAAGGAAATCCCAACATCTTTACGCCATATGCCTTATGCCATTCCATAACGTTTCACACAACCTGGCTCATGACTTTCGCATTTTGTAATGTAAGATGGTGAGCGTAGGTTTGATTGGCATCAGTCCTGACCTTTAACTCTTGTTCATATTTGATTAGTCATTTACGGAGGCCGCCACCCACCCTCTTTATAACCCAACACTAGTGCACTGAAAGGGCAGCTGGAAGATCAGTACATCTGCTGCGTTCTCCACGGACATTCATCATTGTGAAGGCAGCCTTTGGTTTGTCATTTAGCTGAAGGGGAAATATGTGCCAAGAAATTCAAAGGATTTTTCATTGTAGCCAAAATATACAGATGAAATGGGGCATATTTATTATAACTGTCAAACTGATCAATGTCATATCACCTTCTGAGAGCTCTGAAAGAAGGCTCAAATAAAAACCTCTGCTCTGACATTTCTCTTTTTGTCTTTCAGCGGTCTCATTAAGAGGACATTTCTGTATTACAGTCATTTAACACTGACTGACCCCTTTTCATTCCACTTTAAAACCTTTAATGTTTGTACCTGCAAAAACATTTTCAGGTCAAAGCATTCAACATTTTTGGCCTATCTGTCTGTCTGTGTGTCTGACTCTCTCAGTCTCTCTTAAAGGTCAGCTACTACATTTACATGCATAACATGGCCTGCCAAAATTCTTAGTCTAAGAAACTAGGCTGAACCAAGTTGTGTACTAGACACTTTATAGTCCTTTTTTCATGTACACCAGTTTAGTTTGGCTAAACTGCAATGCGAAACACTTCTTTCATCAGGCATGACTTTCCTGCCTTTTGGAAATACTGGAGTTTCTTTATTCCTTCCATCTAAATAACTCAAGATGTCTATTTATGTCAAAATCTTTAACATAAGCGATGCCTCTTCCTGTCCCCCAAAAGTACATTTAGTCACTTGTGTGTTTTGGTTTTATAAAGCTGTCATCATGCATGTGACGAGAGTCAGGGGAGGTATCTAAGACTTGCATGTCCAAAAATATCTCCAGGTAATCCAGCCAATATCAGGTTCGGCCACATATGAAAGAGAAACCTTCTGAGTCAGATTTCTTTACAATGGTAGTGATAGGAACCAGGGTTCACAATGCCTGTGTCACAGTTTCCCCATTGCCCCTCTGAGTGTGCCTGTTTCTTCCCCTTTATTGTAGCCATGTGCTTTTTATCCATGTGCTAATGTTTTTGTTTTGGTTCCTTTGCGCCGCCCTTATCCCGCCTTCCCCATTAGGATTCTCACCTGTTTGTAGTTCCTGTTTCCTCCCTCTGCCAGGTGTTCCCTATTGTTTTTAGCTATATCTACACCTTTGTTTCAGTCATTGGTTGTCTAGTCTACACATGTCATAGGTAGTGGTAACATGTCTGCCCTTTGTTTGGTTTGCTCTGTGTGTTCCTTGGTTAAAAGTTGTTTTGTTATTTGGTATCATTTTCAGTGTTTGTCCTAGTTTGTTTTTATTTAATAAAGTTTGCTTGCAACTACATCCAGCCCTATCACTCTTATCCTCCATTTGGCCATTTTTTAAGGCAGTGTAGATGTATCCTCTGCTGCCTTACATATCCTGTAATGCTGTGCCTGCACTGATGTGGGTGGAAAAAAATAACAGAAAACACCAGTACTGACACAGTGGACACAGTTGCCTTCGAAGGCACTGACTTATGAGACACTTGTTGTTATTGTTTGGAAGTTTGGTGCGTTGTGCATAATGCTGAGGTAAATGTTTTGATCCAGATGAATTGGCCAATCAAATCACACACTTATTTCATTACTGGACCTCCTCTGGTAAAACTAATTCCGCTCAAATAGGGCTATAGCCATTTAATCATGCAAATTTTGAGGAATTGGTGGAATTCCACTTCAAAACAAAACAAAAAAAAACATGATGCGATTGCTCTGTTAAATGGATTCATTTGAGCAAGTGGGAATGCTCCCATGCAAATTCTGGTGCTCACCAAATAAGTGGAGGAGGTCAGTCTCGGTCTGCTTCCAATCAAATTGTAGTGCAGTTACGTGTGAATGCAAAACAGACCAGATAATACTATACAGACCAAAAACAGTTTGGTTTGCTCTGTGTGTTTCTTGGTTAAAAGTTGTTTGTCATTTGGTATCATTTTCAGTGTTTGTCCTAGTTTGTTTTTATTTAATAAAGTTTGCTTGCAACTACATGCAGCTCTATCACTCTCCATACAGCCTGCAACACAAATATAGCCATATTATTCACAATCCACAAAGACCCTGTGACTCTACATGTGGCTTTATATATTGTATGTGTAATAATATGTTAATGTTTAATGTTTAATAATAGTAAAATAGTGGAAAATCTAGAAAAATTAAGTTTTCCAAAATCTTATCACAAAAATATTCTGAAACAATTCCTCAGGCATCAGACAGTATATTCATAACCATTTAATGTAATAGCTTTCTGTGATGTAGCTTTTTCTGAAGCATTAGGTGCTTTGAACATCTGGTTCCTATCACCACCTCTGTAAGGTTCTCTAGAATGGCACATTTCACATGAGCCCTACTCTGAGCCCTATTTGAGGTGGATTAGTATTACCTAGGGATGTGCTGCAAACGAAGTGATTACCGACAAGGTCCGTGATTTTAATCCAGTACAAATCTGCCGTGTCCGTAGTTTTTACAAGTCTGCTAAGTAATAATTTTAGAGTGAACTACCTCCTGTAATTTCTCAGAGCTTTGCAGTAATAGTACTGACATCTCAGTAATGTAATAACAAAACCAGGTAATAGAAAATGGATGAGGCTGAAGTTGGTTTCCTATTTTTCCAATAATGTTCGAATCTAATGTTTGTGTAAAATGCTGTCTGCTGAGGTTCCTCCATTTGGCCATTTTTTAAGGCAGTGTAGATGTATCCTCTGCTGCCTTACATATCCTGTAATGCTGTGCCTGCACTGATGTGGGTGGAAAAAAATAACAGAAAACACCAGTACTGACACAGTGGACACAGTTGCCTTCGGAGGCACTGACTTATGAGACACTTGTTGTTATTGTTTGGAAGTTTGGTGCGTTGTGCATAATGCTGAGGTAAATGTTTTGATCCAGATGAATTGGCCAATCAAATCACACACTTATTTCATTACTGGACCTCCTCTGGTAAAACTAATTCTGCTCAAATAGGGCTATAGCCATTTAATCATGCAAATTTTGAGGAATTGGTGGAATTCCACTTCAAAACAAAAAAAACCCTGATGCGATTGCTCTGTTAAATGGATTCATTTGAGCAAGTGGGAATGCTCCCATGCAAATTCTGGTGCTCACCAAATAAGTGGAGGAGGTCAGTCTCGGTCTGCTTCCAATCAAATTGTAGTGCAGTTACGTGTGAATGCAAAACAGACCAGATAATACTATACAGACCAAAAACAGAATGAACAGTCATCTGTCTGCAGACCCTCTTTGGTACCTGCAACAGGTGAATTTTTGCAATATTGAAGCGTTTATCATCTCCGTATGAGCTCAGCATTAGCAATTATAAAATGAATAGTTTCAGTTTCAAAACAAAACTGAGGCAGTTTAGAAAAGCAGTCAGCCACTTGAGGCCATACATTACAGTGATTTTCCTTTTTTGTGTCTTGAGTAAATCGTAGTAATGAGAGGTATAAAGAAAAGACATTCATAAAACCCATGAGTGTAGTTAGGCCAGAGGACAGTGTGGTTTAGAGAGCTTGTTGGATATAATCTTCCGTATCAGTTGTGATTTTTTTATCTGACTTT